AAAATAAAGCCTATACTCTCAAATGGAACAAGAAAAAGATCCATGTTCCAACCACTTATGAATATAACCAACCTCTATCTGTTCAACCTACTATTATGGATGAAAAAGAATTAGAACAATTTGAACAAGAATATTTAAGTCCACGAGAAGCTTATATGATTGAACCTGTTGCTTCTACCTCCAGATCCAGACTCTACTCCAACGCCAACCAAGAATGTAGGAATTGCTCTTCTACTGCCCACCTTTTTGCTGATTGCCCAAACAATCGATGTTTTAGGTGTAATCGATATGGCCACCTTGCCGTGTATTGTTCTAAGCAAGCTTCTAAACGATCTACATGCAGGATCTGTTCTCAGCCAGGCCACTTTTACAAAGACTGCACAGAAAACCAATGCTACCGATGCAACCAGTATGGTCACATTGGAATAAACTGTCCTCAAAATACCCCTATCTTGGAAAACCAACAATATGTGTGTGGATGCTTCCCAAGTGAAGTTGAAAGCCATCAACTATACTATTACTCTCCTCGCCGAGTCAACCATTGTTGTAAATGTAAAGTACCTCAAAAGCCTGAAGACTTCAAAATGCTAAAACAGACTTTAGTCTGTAAAGTTTGTTAGACTCATTTTCACCAAGAGCATGATAGAAATGATCCTCGAAGCATAGAATACTTTACTAACGGTGATAGCAAAGGAACTCTTATTCAATGTAAACTCTGCAAAGAAGAATGTATTAGATCCAGAATATACAAACTTGACACTATCAGAGAAGACTCTTGGTTTTGTAATTTAGAACACTTGTATGCTTACAAGGCTGCTAGTGATGTAGAATGGAACTCTAATCTTAACCTGTGAACCCGAGTTCGACACTATACTGAGTCTACTCGAAATGCCAGACATGCCTATGACCTCATTTTCTGACTAGCCATGATCCAATTAGGCGAAAGTACTGAATATCTTGCCCACGCTCTTGAACCTCTTGCTACCAATCGCTCTAACCAAGACTATACCTATGAAGATGTTAACATTATAATGAGAGCCTCGCAAGTTCAATTAAGCGAAACTGAAGAAACAAAATTACAAAGAATCTTAGCTGAGTCCTTTGATATCAGCCACCCAGATTTTGATTAACGAAAAGCTATAGAAAACTTGCAAAGAAATTTCCAAGGAACTGTAGCACTCTGTAATGATTGCCTTATGGCTAAATCCAAAACTGAACTTGAACAATTTGGAAACTGCTGTCAAGAATGTTATAATGAAGCTCACCCTTAATAGACGGAGCCTGAACCTGAACTTTCTCTACATCCTCCTGCACAACCTACTCAACAGGAAATAATTAATTTATTACAAGAGCAAATTCGACAACAAGCTCAAATAATTAATTATTTGC